AACTTTTACATAGTTTACAAGTTAATGTTTGTGTTTAGCATGTGTTTAGGTTTGTTTAAAGGGAACGACTTATGAAAAGTCAATGGTATTTAGTTTGCAGTTGTATTAGCATTGGCACATCTCATTCCATGGAGATTGTTTAGCCCTGTACCTTCAGTCATTGTTCATTTACTTTGAATATTTGCATAACTTACATGTTAAAGTATTGCTATTTTAATTTCAACATTTGCATTATCAAAATAACAAATAGGCGAGACATATCTCTGTGTTAACAGTTTATTGTTAAAGTATTGCTATTTTAATTTCAACATTTGCATTATCAAAATAACAAATAGGCGAGACATATCTCTGTGTTAACAGTTTATTTACATAGATTAGACCGTTGGTTTTCCCGTTTGAATGGTTTTACACTAGTAATTTTGGGGCCCTTTATAGCTTGCTGTTCGGTGTGAGCCAAGGCTCCGTGTTGAAGACCGTACTTTGACCTATAATTGTTTACTTTTAAAAATTATGACTTGAATGGAGAGTTGTCTCATTGGCACTCATACCACATCTTCTAATATCTAACACAAAGGATGATAACAGTGTCCCTGCGCCAATAACCAAATGCAAATGCTTGATTTGACAGAATGTATTTATCGAAGAATTCTTAATGTCTTAAGTAGTGGTCAATGTGAAATACCACAAAAACATTATGTCACCTCCAGTTTCATGTTAAAAAGGGTGAAAAAAAATATTCATTTGAAATATGACAGTTGCTGAAAATTAACCATGCATTTATTTTGTTGCAGAAATAGAAAAAAAAACTTGAGTCATCAACATATTCATAGATATAAGAAGATGTGGTATATATGAGTGCCAATGAGACAACTCTCCATCCAAGTCAAAATTTATAAAAGTAAACCATTATAGGTCAAAGTACGGTCTTCAACACGGAGCCTTGGCTCACACCGAACAGCAAGCTATGTATATATATCTTGGGTGTTTCAAATTACCATTCTTTTTTTTATTTTGTGTTCCAATAATAATATATATTATTTTGAAAACTTGAGGTGACCTGGTTACTAAAGCTTGTAAATGGGGAAAAATGGGGAAAAGTTGCTTGGTTTACTTCCGGTGATGGTTCTTATCTTTTATGCAATGAAATGTTGTTTGAAATTTTTTCTATAGAACTGGACAGGATAAAACTTTATTCATGCCAAGTATTTCTTTATTTGGAAAAAGATAAATACTGCAGATTTTTTTGAAAAATGACAATTTAACAAAGACTAATAGGGGAAAAACGAAGTGGTAAATACATGTACATCTCAATAACATGTTAAATAAACAGTTAATGACCTTTCAAAACATAGGTTGTAATACAACTAAAATCTAATCATGCAAACCTTATCTTAATTATCGTTCTTAATTTAATAAAAAACAAAGTTTTTCACACAGTAATGACTTGATCAAAACTTTATGATACTTCATCAGAAGCTTTTTTATTATCAAAAGAACAAAAAAAAGTATCCAGAGTAACATTTTGAAAAATATCTGTTTCATTTTCTATATTTTTCTGATAAAATGAACTGTGTTGATTTTTTGCAGTCAACATGTACATGATGTAGATAGAATCTTCGGTTAAGTTTTTTAAACATTGATAAGCAGTGGCGGATCCAGAAATTGCAGGAAATACACAGGGTTCTGTAGATCCCATTAAATAATTTCATGAAGGATTTCTTCTATGGACTATATGATGGTTCGAGGACACAGTAATATCGTACTTAGATTTTCGTTGTCTACAAATATTATCCCTAGTGTGGACAGTGCATAACTTGCAAATTTTTTCATACACTTTTCAAACTGAATTTGAGATCCCCTTAACATAGAATTGTCAATATTTTGAGTTAGAGCTAATAGACTTTTCTATAATTTTGATATTATTTGTCCTAATAGTAGTACACAACACTGTTAAAAAATCTTTTTAAGATAGAGCAGGTGCGATTTTTATACGACCGCAAACAAAATTTTGGGATCGTATAATGGTATGATGTCGTCGTCGTCGTCTGCGTCGTCGTCCGAATACACATTGGTTTCCGGACAATAACTTTAGTTTAAGGTAATGGATCTCTTTGAAATTTTTTAAGAAGGTTGAATACCACAAAAGGAAAGTTGGGATTGATTTTGGGGATGATGGTCTCAACCGTTTAGGAATTAGGGGCCCAAAAGGGGCCCAAAACAAACATTTTTCTAGTTTCAGGATAATAACTTGTGTATAAGTATTTCGATTGCTCTGAAATTGTACAACAATGTTTAATACCACAAGTAGAAGGTTGGGATTCATATTAGGGGTTATGGAGCAAACAGTTTAGGAATTAAAGAACCTTAGTGAGCACGCTCACATACCCCACGTCACCACATTGTCATTGGAGAAATAAAAAATAAGTATGGGGAAAAAAAATTGTATAAGAAAAAAAAATTGAATCATAATTTCCTGTCAATATGCACATCTACATAGTATGTCCTTATTATCTACAAAGTTTCATGAAATTCTGTTGTGTGGTTTCAGAGGAGTTGCGATGACAAACTGTTGCAGAAGTACATTGAAGGAAATAAGTTCAAAGGGGCGTAACTCCTAGAAAAAAAATTGAATCGTAATTTCCTGTCGATATGCACATCTACTTAGTATGTCCTTATTATCTACAAAGTTTCATGAAATTCTGTTGTGTGGTTTCAGAAGAGTTGCGATGACAAACTTGCAGCAGTACATTGAAGCAAATAAGTTCAAAGAGGCGTAACTCCTAGAAAAAAAATTGAATTGTAATTTCCTGCACAACTACATAGTATGTCCTTATTATCTAAAAAGGTTTCATGAAATTCTGTTGTGTGGTTTGAGAGGAGTTGCAATGACAAACTTGCAGTAGTACATTAAAGCAAATAAGTTCAAAGGGGCGTAACTCCTAGAAAAAAATTGAATCGAAATTTCCTGTCGATATGCACAACCTCATAGTATGTCCTTATTATCTAAAAAGGTTTAATGAAATTCTGTTGTGTGGTTTGAGAGGAGTTGCAATGACAAGAAACAGGACTGACGGACAGTATGGACGGACGGGTCAAAAACATTATACCCTGCGCAACTTCGTTGCGTGGGGTATAATTAAGGGCCTTAAAGGGGCCAAAAACAACAATTTTTGTAGTTTCCGGACAATAACTTGTGTGTAAGTGTATGGATCTCTCTGATATTGTACCATAAGGTTTCATATCACAAATGGAAGGCTGGGATTGAGTTTGGGGGTAATTGCCTCAAACATGTAGGAATTAGGGGCCAAAAAGGGCCAAAAACATGCAGTATTCTAGTTTCCAAACAATAACTTGTGTTAGATGTGTATAGATCTCTCTGAAATTGTACTACAAGGTTCCATACTACAAAGGAAAGAATTGGATCGAGTCTTGGGGTAATTGCAAATGTGTATAGATCTCTCTGAAATTGTACTACAAGGTTCCATACTACAAAGGAAAGAATTGGATCGAGTCTTGGGGTAATTGCTCCAAGGGGGGATTCCAAAAGTCGCGGGGGGTGGGTGGGGTTTCCAATTTTTTTAAGGAATTCATATTTTTATCTAAAATTTTCAAATTTCAAATTTTGTAAAAGTTTCAAGAAGTAATCTTCAATTGCACAGTATTGCGCAATAGATTTGTAAGATCTTTTACCACATTTATTTTGTGTCAGAAACCTACATTACATTGTATGTCAAAAATTTGATCACAATCAAAATTCAGATAGTATCAAGCTTGAATATTATATCCAAATTTGCCCCAACTGTTCAGGGTTCAACCTCTGCGGTCGTATCAGGCTGCGCTGTGCTCAGCGAAGCATTTTATTTTAATTTGAATTTATTTTCTATAAGAAATGCACTTCGAAATAACTGTGTTCTAGGGCCAATATGTATAAGGTATAAGTTATACTGTGTTCTGACAAATGTAAAGTGCAAAGAAACCGGACTTAGTTTTTAAAATTAGTGAAAGTGTTTATAATTTTTTGCTTAAATATATTTAACTCCTTAACTGATTCATGAGTGATTTTCAAAGATTTGCATCATTTATGAACTAGCTATATTATCATGATAATACTGAATTTACTATTGAAAACTATATTTTGTAAAGATCAAAAATTTAAAACAGTCATATCAGGACTGTTTTCACCATCATTGGTTTTTGTCCATAGGTTCATACAATATACCATTGGAGGCTCTGTTTTTGTTTGATGTTTTTCTTTGTATGGATCTGATGGGTTAAGCCTTTTCCAACTGATTTTCATAGTTTGTTCTTATGTTGTGCTATACCACTGTCCCAGGTTAGGGTAGGGTTGAGGGCTCACAAACATGTTTAACACCGCCACATTCTTTATGTGCCTGTCCCAAGTCAGGAGACATCTGTCATATTTGGATTTTTTTTTTGTATAATGTTTTGTTATAAATTAGGCTGTTTCTCAGTTGAATTGCTTCATACTTTTCATGTCAGGGCCTTTTAAAGCCAACTATACTGTTTGGGTTTTTCTCATTGTTGAAGGCTGTACGGTTGCCTATAATTGCTTACTTCCACTTTATTTCAACTTTGGTGGATAGTTGTCTTATTGGCAATCATACTGCATCTCCTTTTTTAAAAATTTTCATTAATATTAAGACAATCACATCTTCTGTGTCTTTTATTTGTTTTCACTGTTTTTTGTAATCTGATAATATACATGTCTTTGAGTCTTTGATATATTTTAATGTCAGTCTTTGTTAGTCTCCGTTAAACTAATTTAGCCTGACAATTAAACTTGTAACCTACATGACCTATATAGATATTTGTATATTGTTGAGAGGCAAATTTTTATCTGTGATGATTTTTTTTTTTTTTTTTTTTTGCACTTGGGTAACTGTCTCATTAAAATATTTCATATAATCATACACTTAATAAAATCATAAAAGTTTACAATATACATGTACTCATCTGTATTAGTTTTGTAAAAATAAAACTTCATTTAATACGATTTATTCTGTAAAGAATCCACATTTAATGTATTAATAATCACATAAACGCCTGAAATGAAAGACAACTCTTACTGGATCATGTTCAAGATCTTCCCACATGTACAATGTGTTTTTGAAATAAATTGAATTTGAGTGCATATACATGTACATATTGTATTTCTTAGTATTGTTGAAATACTGTAATTGAGTTCAAAGCTGAAATGACCAGTTTCCTTTGTACTGGATTATAACTTATTTTAGATGGGTATTCCAGTGATGTTAGTCCTTTTGTAGTAACTTGTGTATACTTCTTTCCATCAGATGACACATGTTGTACTGATCTATCCTCACATAACACATACACACTGCCATCTTGTAGAATGGTCATATCACAGGGCTGTGATGGTAACTTTACTTTGGAAATCTTGTTGTTAGAGTGACTGTAATGGTACAGGTAATAATTACCTTCTGTGTAAAATATACCATCATCAGAACCACACAGTCTGTTAGGAAGATAATAACCAGTATCAATGGTCTTCTCCACCTTCTCTGTCTGAGGATCTATGATCAACAATATTCCCCAACAGCCTACTACTAACTTGCTGTTTGTAGTTGTGATGCCAAAGCAGCATGGTATAGATAATTGTATTGATTTCACTTTCTGTTTATTGTGTATGTTCCATATGTCTATACTGTTACAGGCAGGCAGTGTAACAGCTACTGTAGAGTTGTTGACTACAGTAATATCCCATGGCTGACCCTGTAGTGGTATTGTATCAACATGTGAACCATCTGTATTATAAATATCTATTGATAAATTATCCCAATGTATATAGGCCACTTGTCCAGCATCTGTTTTCACAGCTTTGTTACCAATGCAAAACCTCTTTGTACAGTGTACATGTTGTACAGTGAATTGGAGATGTTGGTAGAAGATATCTTGTCCTAGTTTGTAGGATTTTCTTTCTTGTCCTTTAAAAAAAATGAATGAAAATGTGTTCAGTATACAATATTAAAATCATACAGTAATTAAATCAGGTATTTTTATACAAGTCAAAACCTTTTCTATCACAGGGTACATGTCATCATTAAAGGGAATAAATAAGAAGGAACCTATATATCTATAATCTTTATTTTTGTAAATAATGATTTGATAGGGGTGGTAGAAGACTGTTATTAACAATCATCAAGAATCAACAATAATAATTATAGTAATGTATTTGTAATTATAGTTTTGGTGTGTCTTTTAAGTAACTGGCAATATAATAATTTTATTGTATTGTATATAATTGACCAACATTTGTAGAATTTTCTTTCTTGTCCTATATACATGGAATGAATTAATTTGTTTGAACTCATGACAATAGATTTTTAATCAATATATTTACGGCTTTTTTTGGTTTTAAGTGAATTTAATTGTTCATTTTTAAAAAGGTGATTAAAGAATGTAATGGATGTATTGAAGAGCTATGTTGTTTATGCAATGTTACTACATGTAAAACAAAAATAAAACTGACCATTGATTGATTATGAGTAGTCAAGATAGAATGTAAATGTATCAAGTATGAATAGTCTTTATTTAAAAATAAAAATAAAATGACTTAATATTGATATTTTAATCACTGATTTATAAATCATACTAGTTACTTTTTAAACACTGAGCCCTTGAAAAAAGGCTTTTTACATTTTGGAATCTCTTTTTATTAAACATATTGGTATTTGATAACCATTATAACATCTAGAAACAACATGTGTGACAACACTTACTTTTACTTTGAATATTAGGATTTTGTCTTATACATGTACCAGTGACTCCTTTTTCAGCATAGTAGACAAGTTTCTGAAATAAAAGGACAAACAAATTTGGTTGAAAAGCTGCTATTATTATGAATAAGATATTGTTATGTCTTTTAATCACCATCAACATAGAACATAGTAGTGAATTGACTTGACATAATAGGGGAAAATGTGAAGCTCTGCTGAGAATTCCCCCATTTCGTCCTGAATTGTTATATCCTTATTATGCCTATAATGACAAGTCATTACACTGTAATTGTCATTATACTGCGATTTTTAACAATTTCAATGAAGACAGAAACATGTCTGGTAACTGCTTGAGTCCGTCTGTCAGTCCTTCCAAAAGAAAACTTTCAAAGTTTTCTTGGCTTCTAGGAAAGGAAATGATTTAAAATCTGGTCTCCAGCTTTATAATGTTGAGTCGTTGTGAGTAAGCAATTTTGACATTGCTGTCCATCTACGTCCTGTTTGCCTATAGTTTGAAATTTTACAACATTCATTGTACAAGGAAAATATTTGTCAAAGGTTTCTTGGCTGATTGTTAAGTTTTCATGGTTAAGTTTGTTTCTTAGATACTATAAGCAATAGGTCAACTATATTTAATGCATAAATTGATTGTAAGGTGTACATGTCTGTTTGGCATGGTTCATCTGACCTTGACCTCATTTTCATGGTTCATTGGTCAATGTTAAGTTTTCTTGGTTAAGACTGTTTCTTAGAAACTATAAGCAATATGTCAACTATGTTAGGTTTATTGAATCATTGTAAGGTGTACATGTATTTCTTGTTTGGTTTATATGACCTTGACCTCATTTACTTGGATCATGTTAAGTTTATGTGATAGTTGTAGTAAAGCTTTATATTTAGGACTATCAACATAATATCAATGGTTAGTAAAGAAGGCGAGACATTTTAGCTTGTGCACTCTTGTACTATAGTTACTGTGGATTCATTATTATTCGTTGGACACCAATTTTCGTCTATTTCGTGGGTACAGGTGAACCACGAATTCAAATGTTCAATGAATTACAAATTTTCTATAGGCTTTGTATGCAGAGATTGGCAAAACCACGAAATCAAATATCCAAGAAAATGCAAGTTTTCCTCAATCCACGAAAATTTATACCCACGAAAATATATAAACCCACAGTAGTAAAGCAGGCCAGACATTTCAGCATGTCCACTCTTGTTATCATTGTTATACTTTACATATATTAATCTTACCTGTATTGCATCATTCATCACAGGTATTCCCTGCACAGCTGTATTTATTGTCTGGATAGATGAGTTCATTTCCTGTAGGGTCGTGTTTCCTCCTTGAACTGATCTCTCTAGGCCTTGTAGGGTCGTGTTTCCTCCTTGTACTGATCTTTCTAGGCCATGAAGATTCCACCCTATTCCTTGTAAAGATGTATTTATCCCATGTACACTTGTGCTTATCCCTTGTACAGAAGTATTCATCTCTTGAAGTGAATCGCCAATCTGAAAGTTTTTAAAGGAAATATTGACAGTGAAATTGTAGAGCCGCTGAAAACCTTTGGGTATCCATTCATATTAAATAATTTTGTGGTGGTACAGCATGTTTTTGTTTTCTCAGGACAGACTTAGATAATTTGAAATCAATTTATTAAAAGAAACACAATGCTGTCCCACATCCCCATAACTAAAGATGAATGTGTTTAATCCTTACGTTTAAGGCAAACATTATTCTGCGAGCAGCAGAAGTTAGATGCACATTGAATTCCTTAAGCTTTCCATTGTGTGTTATGGTTATAGGAAAGCTCTCACTCTCAGTATATTATCATGATTATAGGACCAACAATCCTGGTTAATATCTTGAGCTTCTATTAGCATGATAAGTGAAGTTGTAGATAAATGCCAATAAAGAGACCAAATATCCATTTACTGGACCATCAGAAGCAGTGTCAGTTTTTACAATTGATATTTTATTGAAATTCAACTAATGCATAATTTAAGCTACCTCTTCAAATCTTTTGTTGGCATCTAAAAGATGTATGTAGTATTGTTTACAAAGTTGTTCATCAAGAGGTCTGTTCTTCATATCTTCAAGGTCACTCTGTCTGGTGGGGTCAAGCTGAAGGACATGATATGTAAGATCTGGCCACAGTGAATTGTACTTTGGCTCCGTTATGCCACAATTTGTGTTATGGCTAAGATAATCATTCTTGTATTGCCTGAGAGACCTGACTGCCTGCTCTTCAGCTGGTCCTAGGGTGAAGCAGTTGACAAGGATAAGTCCCATCAAGGTGATATCAAGTTCATCAAGATGAACAGGTTTAGCTGTATATTTACAGTGACAGTGGTGATTACCTGGTCCAGGATTTTCTGTATACAACAGTTTCCATTGGTAGTTGTACAGTGGAAGTTGTTGTCTGGCAATACAGTTTGGGCTATCAACACAGCAATACCATGTATATCTGTGATTTAAATGGAATAAGGTGTGAACTACTGGTTGGTTGTTTAAGAAATCTTGCAGACAACTAAATCCAGCTTTTCTATAGTTGTTCTCTAGTTGACGTCTAAACACAGGAGTAACAACTTCTAGAAACACAGACCCAATGACAAAGAATCGTCTACGATCTTCTCTGTCCATGATTTCTAAAAAAGTAATATATGCATTATAATAAACTTTGTAAATACTAAAACAGATCATCAGTGATCAAAGTAGAATTTTATGTTAATATACAAATGAAATGTAGGCTGTTTTATCCATACAAGTAGATGTTTTATATGTCAATCAGGACAGGCAAAATAATCATTTATTATCAAATAATCATGCATCTTAAAAAATCTATTGACTTGATCAAACTATATCAAGATATGTTATTGATTTTATTGATCATTTTTTGATACCCATATTTAAGTATTTTAATTGAGTCACGAGTTGGCAAAATCATCTTGACTCGACACAGAAATACTATTATCGATTTTTTTTAGTCTATTTATATCATTGTGTTAATTTAAAAAAAAAATTAAATGACGATTATACCCCTGTTTCCAAAGGTGGAAGGTATCCTGGTTTTTATCTGTCTGTCCTTCAGTCTGTCCATCTATCTATCCCTTAATAATTTGGTAGCATTTTTCTCAAGAACCTCCATTTACAGCTTTTTTGCTATCAAGCCTCATGTACATGTGAACGTGCTATACTATTTGATGCATTTTTAGATACATTGCTCATCAACTTTCTGTTTACTGAATAATGTATTCTTTCACATAATGACCATGTATGAAATTTTCAAAGCATTTTTCTTGTAACTTTTAATCAGGGCTTCCTGAAACTTGGTAGAATCATGTATGCCTTTTGCTATGACATTACTCTTCAACTTTCAGTTTACCAAATACCTATCTAGGTTTAGCTAGGGTATATTTAGATACTTTAGCAATGACTGTAACAATTAGTAAAAGAGAAAATCATGTGATAATTTTAACGGGGAAAAAAAGGAAGGAATGGGGTGGAGGGTTTGTAAGGTCATAGCTGATATCATTCGTATTTTTGTTGGCCATATGTAAATGTTACATTTACTTTTAAAATAATCTTGAGTAAAACAATGTACTTTCACTTCACTTCTAACACAATGTGTCTTTCAATTTACAGATCTCTGCATTTAAAATAAAAGAAAAAGAATAAATTATTCAAATTACCACATATATATTATTGGTGATGTGTTTATCACTGGAAATTATTGCAGTTTCTGTACATGTTATTCCACCATGAAGATATGTGTGGGAATCCCCTTTGCTATCTTTATCTAACCTGTTAAATGGGAGACAACTCAATGTTAAATCAGGAAAAAACTAAAAAAAAAGATACAAGTTTGTTTTTTTTAAATTATCAATCTTTAAATTATTAGAAAATTTTCAATGATGTAAATGAAGTGTTTCCCTATAGTATCTAGTTTTCCAGATTAAGTAGTTGATAAAATAAAATACAAAGAAAATATGAGAGAGCTTATGTGTTTGATAACAACACCACCACCCCTTATCAAGACGCACACAAACCATCTAAAAAAAAACAAAACCAAAGGCAAATACTGGTATTATAAAAACATTATAGGAAGAAAATGAAATAGACTATTTATATAGGAGTTATATAGAATATCATGTGACCATCATGAGGGAGACTGAAAGAACAGGGTGGATCGAGGGTTTGTATGGTCATAGCTATAGGTGGTAGACTTTTTTTGGCGAAAAGAAAAACAAACATACATACATGAGAGTTTGATAATGGTTACTATGTTATTTATCTGTATTTTTTGTGTATTCCAGATGTAAGTCATGTAAATTAACAAAAAGAATTCAGGTCTAAGCACATAAATGTTATGGAAGAAACAGAGTTAGAAAAATACCAAAAGGAAGTATGGATGAGGAGCCAGATTGAAAGCCATAATATTCAGAGAGAGGCAGGTATACAAGAATTCAGTAGTCTTTAAGTTTTTTATTTGAGTGACCCAGCCTTCATTTCTGCTTGACCATCCATATTTTTGAAGTTTTCTTAGCAAATCATGGACTTTTTCTTGTGGGTACCCATTTTGTATATCCTCTTTAACCCCTCACTACATGCTAATTAACCGTTTTCATAATCTTTGCAACCATATAAACAAAGTTGGGAAGTAAATACGACCCCAGTATTTACTAGTGGTATTTGGTGGTATTAATTACCCCTGTCAATACTCCTCAAGAGATCAGTACTGGTTGATTGAAATTTTCATTGTTCTTTTAATAGGCTAAACTATATTAATTCTAGCTAAACGTTAGTAGATGAGGAACATTTTGTAGCTTCATCCCTTTTGCATAATGTTTTATTAACTATTCTAATATGACGTGCTTCTTTCGCTTGTTTTACCCATAGCTTTCAGTTTTATTACAAGCTTATAACAAAGAACATGTAACATATTAGGGCTATTTTATTGCAAGTTCCTATCATGAAACAAAAGCTCTTACTATTCTATTTCTTTTTCAGCTACCAGTTCTACAAATGTTAATAAAGATGACTCAGTGAAACTGATCAATTTGTAAGTTTCCATGTTTCTTATGACATATTTGTTGCATTATTTGTAAATCTATACAAAGCAATGTTTGTTCTTCAAATGATAAAAATATCATATAAATAATTTGACTAACTAGGTTACTATTGACTCTATATTTGTAAAGAGAGATGTAGATACAAAATGTATTATTCTTAGTAATAATAATTAATTCCGAAAATGACTACTGCTTCATTGGCGACTATAATTCTACTCTTCCCATTTAGAATGTAAGGAATACATACCATTGCTTTACTTCTTCCGAAATGCCTCTCTCAGAGTTGAGAACACTGTATAGCAGAATTCTGATATTCAAGGAATTATTTTATATGTGCACATAAATAATTTTCAAATTCAAAAGTGCAAGATCTCCTGTTTTAAGCTATTCATATAGTCACAAACCTTGTTGAAAGTCATCTTATTCCCCACTTCTACTTTTGAAATAAAAAATCACTTCACTCACATTAAACTTATATTTTTAACTCGCATGCACAACAAGCAAGACTTTGGATAATGTGATAGATCAACCCTGCTAGGTATTGCATTGTTTCTAATTAGAGAAGCTGAGGTTGTATTGGGAATTTTCATGTTAAGAATGTTTTTTTTTTGTCATTGAAAATATGAATTTTGTGAAACTGTTATAATTATGTTTCTACACATTACAATTGCTTAAAGATACACATTGTACTAAATTTGTACAATTTAACAGATTGACAGAGTTAGGTGAAGATTTAAGAAAACAACATTTTGATAAAGACAGAAAAGAAGTCATAATTAAGAGGTATGTCTATATATAGAACACTGCATTCCAGTACAGTAGATATTCTTTTGACTATATCAAAGAAAAATAGCATCATCTTGTTTATGTAACTGAAGTTTGCTAACCGTATGCTGAAATCTGTCCAGAGTCTTATAGTCTTCACAAAATATGTTGTAGATACTATTCCTTATAAACACTTTCGTCCTCCTTCCTCAAAACAACAGGGGTAGAAATAAGATGTATCCAATTTGCCATAATCTTTCTTAAAGTAGCTGTCCTGGCCATCATGTTTTACCTTGGTTAAGCTTGCCCTTTATGAAATCTTTTTTCTAGAGGTCAGCAGGAGACATTGTATTTCATTTCCTTATTTAACAGTATTTTTTGTTGTTTCTCATGTCAAGAAGAATGTATTTGGAATGTTCCCATGGGTCAACCCTGCCCCAGTTAATATTATTAAAATGGTTGGGATCCCAACCCCTTAACCTGAAATTTTCTTGTATTTCATGTCAAGAAGAATTGGAATATTTATGGTTGGCATTTAGAATTCTTTCCTGTCCCTTCCTTTTAAAGAAATGGTTTTAAATTAGTTCAAATGATGATATCTGTGAGATTGACAACAATTTCTCTAGACTGGGCAGTTTAGAACTGGACATATCATATAAAACTTTTAAGATAAAGATTGTAAGTTAAACTCTTGATGTCTTCTAGGTTTTTTTAGTGTCATTTGATTGCTGTCTCATTTATACATGTTCACTTCATTTACTATGCTTCTACTTACTTGGCAATATCGGAAAGAATATGGGACTGTTTGAAAAATTTGAGAAAAATAATTGCCTTTTGCATATCTCTACTTTGTGGACAATATATGGGGGAGTATGGGAAGATGGACAAGACATGTTTATGGAATTTCAAAGGACAGCAGAGCATGATATTGATAGAGATATTAAGTGTTTTAACCAATTATTTATAACAAAAACTAATTACTAGTCATCAATAGATTATAATAGCTTAACAGATGATTAATGGTAACGGTAATTAAAAGATTTAAAAAACTAAAATATTACACACATTTTCCATAGATAAATTTTCTTTTTCTGCTACCAAGATCTTGATTGATTGTCAATAAAAATGTACGTCTCTCCTAAAAGTAACAACTCACAAGATATGGTCAGTTATGGGATTGGCAAATAGACTATTGTACCTGATTTTACATTGCACTATAGTGGAAATATCTGTTAATCTAATTTCTAAAAAAAAATAGTTTGATATATGTGTAGTACATAGTATTTACAAAGTTTGAAATGTTTTTAATAGGATACAGCTTGGGAATTTTTTGGTCAGAGAAATATTTGAAGAAGATAATATTGATGATGAAAATAAAGAGAAGTTAAAGTAAGTATTAAATATGAGGTTAGAGTCTTCTGCAGGAGTTCTTAACATTGGATTTTGGGTACAGAAGTGCGTTGGAATTTAAAAAATACCCCCATTCAAGGCATTCATATATTGAAGTTTTATGAAATCACGACCCAAAATTATATTTCATACATAATCATAAAAGATATTTAAAAGATTTAACTCATTTCAAAGCTGAAACATTTCTTTTCTCTATCTATAGAATATAGATACAGTTTGTATTGGTAAAATCAGTCAGGAGAATTACTGAAATAAGATATTCAATATTTCTTATCCAAGTTGCTAATTGTATTAGTGAAATTGAAAATTGGACCTTTTGCTTCTTTCAAATAGCAAGGTTTATGGCTTTGATGCAACCATTCATCTGAAAATTCTGAATTTGTTAAAAAAAAATATGCTTAAATGAAGGCTTTACATGATGATCTAATACTTTAACAGATTTTTCCTGTAAAATTCAAGGTTTCAGCTTTTAGATTATGTATTAAAATTTTACTGTTTGCATCCATATAGTGCTGATAATTGATAAAATGATACTTAAAGAAGAGAGTTTTTTGAAGAAAATAGAGGTATGATCATTGAACAAGTTATTTAATGTCATTATCCTAGATTCAGTATAGGGTGATCACATGACATGACTGGTCATCCTAAAAACATAGATGTTGGTTCTGATAATTTCAGCATCATACCTAGTCCCAGTATTATATATATAAAGTTCTCTACCAACTAGGACGAAAATAGCACTTTCACTTAGTTTCAGGTCAATAGATAGTAAAAATTTCTTTTCATCCAGTAAATTGACCATACACAAGCTATATAACTGTGTCTCAGAATTTTGATATATGCCTCCAGTTAGAATATATACTGATTTAACTGCTAGGTTCCAAACCTCATTTCTCCTTTCATCTTTATAGGCCTATCAATTTCTAACAATTAGGACACGGTTTTGAGTAGAAACTCTCTTAAACCACATATTCCAAAACAAAAATAAAGGGGGTAAAATTAAAGTTTCTATTTTCAATTATTGATCAGAATGAAAATTGTTGTGAAAAATCACCTCTTAACTGAATATCCCCCTTTTGACCTCTATAAATGCAACACAAATATAAAAATTTCACTGGGAACTCCCCTTGTTAAGCCATAAATCTAAATTAATTTATCTAACCATAATGTATAACGCGCCTACCTTTGTTGTCGGAATCATTCATAGCAGGCCTCTCTGTTTTATGTTAAAGCAAGAAAAAAGGTATGTTGTTCCATTTATTTTTTTAATCTAAAAAAAAAAAAATTTAAAAAAGATCCTCTCATGTTTCCTATAAAATCCTTATAAAATGTGTTAATGTTTCACAATATGTTGCTAAAAAATAAACTCTGTACCCTAGCATTGGTATCTTATTTTGAAACATGTTATGAAATTAAATACATTTTGGTATAGTTTGAAAAATTCTGTTACCATAAAATATTTCTTTTTACTCTTCAAATTGTATTTTTATAATAGATTTCAAAATCACTTTTTATGTAGCCCTAAAATATTTTTTACATTTGCAGTTTCAACTACAGATACATCTTTATACAAAATATTGATATCAATGTTGAAATCTTCTTAAACTTCTTGTATATTTTCTGCTAGGACAGGAACTTGTTGTGTGTCTTGTTCATGCTCTTAATGAGTTAATGTTATAGGTACTACTTATGATAGACAATGATATCTTCTATATTGTTGCATTACTATCAGTACATGTCAGTTTGAAGATCATTTTAACATGCTGCCCTCTTTGTCATGATCCCATAGATGCCAACTATTACGATTTTCCTGTAATTGTTACGATTTTTGGACCCAAATTACGGTGTTACGATGAACAGTCTATTTGCTACGGATTTACGTTCATTACCTGTCCAGAACAGTTCTCCGTTTATAAATCATTTTTGACAATTGAGACACCTTAAAAGGTTGACTGGGGAATAAAAATATGGTCACCACTGGTCTTCCTCCGACCGGCAGTAGAACCCTCGCCGAAGTGGGGCGTCCGTTTAGCTGTGTGGGATGTATCAAGTATGCAGCCACGTCCAGACAGAATGAAGAGATTAAATCCGATGCCTCATGTAGAGAGAGTGCAATGCTCTTTGAACGTTAAGAACCCTTGCAACAACTCTTTGAGGGGTCTGTAGGTGGCCTTTTGCAATGCTAAATTTCTGTCCCTATTCAATATACCCTCATTTTCTCGCGGTAGTCCGTTTTGAACAAGCATGAAATATTTGCCATTGGACATTAAGCAACCAACAATCAATCGGGACTACCCGTTAAAAACTATTCTCTAGTTTTGAATAATTAATGAAGAAACAAGTCTTTGTTTTTAATTTTACAATGTCTGATGTTACAATTTAAATTTCTGAAACAAAAAAGAAAACTAGAAAGTAGGACCATTATGCCTTTTGTATATATTATGAAAGATATTTCCATTTAACGCGATGGTCATTTGCTAATCAACTTTGAATCGTAGTTTTGACAAATAAAGGAAATCATTTTGTCACTGAATGCCACCCAAAAGGGTGACTAAGGAATACAAATATGGTCACTACAAGTTTTCTTCCATTAGGCTGTAATACTCTTGCCACATTGGGTGTCCGTTTGGCTGTGGTGGATGCACAAGTAAGCAGCCACGTCCGGTCGGAATGGGGACGTTAATTCATATGCCTCTTGAAAAAAGAGTGCTACATACTCTACGTTAAGAACCGTTGAAACAACTTTTTGATAGGACCGTAGGTGGCCTGTTGCAATGCTAAATGTGTCCCATATCCCATATCCGTTTATTTTCCAGTGGCAGTGTAAATTTTCCCGATCCTCATCCGGACAACCTCTATTAAAGGACCTACATTTTGAATTTATTGTTGATTTGTTTTCTTCCTGAATATACATGAAATATTTGCCACTGGACGTTATGCGATCAATAATCAATCATATCACTGTGTGCCAAGTTGTTCATATGATTTTTATAAAATTTTATGTTAATATTACAGAAAATAGACACATATTATGGAAATGTGAATGCCTTTTTACTGATTGCACTCAAAGGGGGTTGGCATCTATGTGATCCAGCAACTTTGAAAAAATAAACATTGTAGCTGTCAATCAGGTTGTCTTTTTTTTTAATTTTCTACCAACAGACCAGACATATCTCTGTGTCAACAGTTTGTTACATGACACCGTCCCTCTGCCTTCAGATTTTAGCTAGGACATTTGTTATGTTTATATATAATTATTTATTGGCAGATACATTGCTGAGTTGTTAGAGAAGCAGTGTCGACTTGTCACAGAAATAATGAAAGCCTTAAAGGTACGAAGTATTGGAGAATTACATTTGAATTTTAGATGACATAGTTAGAATAGAAAGTCTTATCTAAATAAAAATAAAAGGTTCTAGGCCTCTTACTGTTTATGTAAATCTTAAAAAAGGAGATGAACCAAAACAGAATAATGTTCTCAACTGATTTCAATAAAGATCTCTTTCATTTATAGTTATTAAAGGTAGACAACTCACTTTTTCTGAAATTAACAAGTTATTATGAATATTATTGATGCATTGAGTTAACTATTCTAACAGGTTTAACAGTCTTCATGATAAACATTTGAATCTACAGGTTGGAAGCTGAATTTCATGAAAATTTTAGTTAGATTCTATTAGCCTGAAATGACGATTTTTACAGGCCCAGCAGCAGTATTAATTATGTATTGCTCAATCATGCTATACTTTGTCTAGTTTTAATGCATAATATTAGTGATATTTTAATTTTCAATTAATTGTAGGCTATGTATATACTTCTTTTTTGTCAGTCAAAATGACAATCATAATTTCATATATGTAGAAAGAAATGAAATATAATAACCAAGATGAATATTTCTTTTCTAGAGAACAACTGAACTAAGAAGTAAACTTGATACTCTGAAGAAAGACAATTTTGGTAATTAATTACTTTATGTATAAGTCGATAAAAGTTCCAAGAAGCAATCCTGAGACACATGGGTCTTGGTCTGCCAAGTGATGTGTGTGCTTTTCCTTGTTCCATTATTGTTTTTTTTTGTGTTAGATCTCATGTAAAAATAAACTGGTTTCCATGTTCTCGTAATATACAACTTGACCAGTTCTCAGTAAGTTGGGTAGATATATATTTGATTTGCGAACTTGTTTTAATGACTGTTCTTAAAAGAAGCAGTGAAATACATATATATTTTAATCCATTTAACGAATATAAAACATATATATATTAATATACATGATAAAGAATAAAATAGACAAATTGGCGAAAATCTGTAAAATTGTTACTTCATTTGTTATTATTGGCCTTAAAAAATATAATTATCTCCTGTAAATTTCTGCTATAAGTCATATTTAAGGAACAACTGGCATTTTATTTTGTTAATTACATTTAGGAGAATGCCTTTTATAAAAAAAAGTGGTAAATTCATTTCTTAAAATTCAATGCACTTACTACTTGTGCACATCTTTGCAAGTTTTAAACACTTACTTCAAGTTTATTAAGTTTAAAACGGGGCCTCAGTGGCCGAGTGGTCTAAGTAGTTACTACTGTAATCACTAGCCAGTCAACACTGAGGTTGTGAGTTCGAACCCCGCTCTTGAGGGTGCACTCAACTCCAATCGTAATTGACTAGGATTGTCAGTTTTCCTATTGAAGGTCGGTGGTTTTCTCCGGGCACTCCAGCTTCCTCCACCAATAAAAACTAGCCACCACGAAATAGCCCAAAAGTGGTGCTTAAAAGTGGCGTTAAACACAAAAAATCAATCAATCAATCAATTAAGTTTAAAACAATCAAAATGAAGATGAAGGGTCAATAATGCTGTATTTCCATGGATTTCCTTCACTCTCTGGTCAAATGATAATATTTGTCAAATTCTACTTGAATTTTGATAATGGAGAATTGTGGGTCGAGCAATCACATTTAAATTGTTGCATGCATTATTGATATTGATCTATAGAATACTGAACAGCTGGAAATTTAAAACATGAAAACGCGAAATTTTCCCTCGTTAAAGTTCTCTGTGATAACATCATCATAAACGTGATGGTACTGAAACATATTCTACTGACCACTTGTGCTGTGGATGATAAACAGCAGCTTTCTTTGTTCAAATAATTATAACGTCTTGGAAAGCTATTTTAAATTTTTGCTTTGACGCCTTCCTGCGATGTAAGGCGTCAAAGAAAAAAAATATAATAGCCTTTCAAGACCTCATAATTATTTGGACTACTAGTACAGCTTTCTTTGTTTTTCTTTCTGGTTGATGATACTGGGAATATTCATATCACATATGTATGATGTATTACGCCCTGAGCATTGATTTTTTTTTCTTAATATCAAATAATGAGGGGGTGAAAAGGTGCTAGTGATAAGACAGATCTATTTTTTTACAGAGAAAAGAACAGAAAGTAGAAGAATAATGTTAGAAATAAAGGGGAAAAATGAAGCAAAACAACAAATTATCAGAGACCCAGAGACTATGCAGTAAGTGAAATTTGCATATGATGAATTAATAAAGAGAGCTCTGAAAGTAGGAGCTGTCTGTTTTACAGTGGAGATTGGTTGAAGTATAAATAATAGCATTTGGAAAAATAAAACTTTATAATAGACTTACATGTAATGATGTTTGTCCTTGTACACTGAAGATAAAAAGAGCTATGTAAATAACATTTTAATGAAGTGATTGATTTTAATATATACATCATATGAATTAACATATAAAGGATTAAGATAAGGTAGACATACATGTCGAACAACATTGCAGCACATACAAATCATAGAGCCCCTTGATTGTTTAATTCTACTGGAATTTGAATAATGGAGATTTTATTTTATATAAAAAAACATTTTCTATAATAAAAGATATTACTGTGTAGTCTTTAGCAAATTGTCATGAAATATTCATCTAAACTTTTGATATTGCAGATCCTTGAAAGAGTTTGATATTATAATGCAGAAGATTGTGATAGCAAGACATACCTTGCAGGGACTTGTGCTAGGTAGTGGAGTTAACTGGGCAGATGACCCACAGTTGTTGGATGTTGTCCTAAAACTAGGAGAAACTTTGGACTTTAAGTGACTTATTAGAGAATAACCTGTTTGCATATTTTTTATTAGTGAAAACAACAGGTTGTTTTACTCATATGAAGATTATGTTTGTCAGATAAATATGATAGTTAACTTATTAAACACCAATTTTAGTTGGCATGGCTTATGTTTCTGGAAAAAAAGCTCATCAGAAATACTTGGAAGCTAATGTTCGAAACGAAATAAGCAAATTATTGTAGGCATCAAACACAGAATACGGTGTAAACAAATAGTCAATATTGTGTAAGGTTTTCTTTGTCAAAAGATGTTTAGTATTATACTATTTTATAAATAAAATAATAATTAAAAAATAGATAATTAAAATCTTGTATATAATGATGGGCAGATTGTTCTCTTGGAGGTTGCTTGTCCTCCATATCAGTAGACACATTCCAGTACCAAACACTGCATATTGTATGTTGATTTTCAATGGTACCTAATTGTCCTTCAGTAAGTTTTTTATGTTTCATGGTAATGGTATTATCAGGAATGAAACTCATTAGTTTGCTGTAACAATCTTTCTTAATTCATTCCAGATAATGACAATTATTAATTTTGGGTTTCCATGATCATTACAATTGTAAGTGATGTAAATGATAAAACCTTTTATCTCCAGCACAAAAATGAGTCTAAATAATTTTTCACACTTTTGTATATACTGATTGTTAGACATTATCACAAGCAGTTATCTACCTTTTACCTGTTATCCTTACAGCAGTAAACACAGTGGTAGACATCATCACAAGCAGTTATCTACCATGTACCTGTTATCTTTACAGTAGTAAACACATTGGTATATATTATCACAAGCAGTTATCTCTCTTGTACCTGTTATCCTAACAGTAGTAAACACATTGTTATACATTATCACAAGCAGTTATCTACCTTGTACCTGTTATCTTTACAGTAGTAAACACATTGGTATATATCATCACAAGCAGTTATTTCTCTTGTACCTTCTTATCTTTACAGTAGTAAACACATTGGTATACATTATCACAAGCAGTTATCTCTCTTTTACCTGTTGTCTTTACAGTAGTAAACAGATTGGTGGACATTATCACAAGCAGTAACCTCACTTGTACCTTGGACTGTTTTCTGTTCAGTGGTCGGGTTGTTGTCCCTTTGAAACGGGAACGAAACGGTCCCGTTTCTATTCACAATTTTATTTGATCCTTTTGCAATTTGTTACTAGTTTCTCAAGGTGCGAAATACTTTTGCATTTGCTTTTTTGTTATTATAATGCAATAATAAGCTGTATCTTTACAAAAAAAGATACAGGAGGAGTAATCAAAATCCATAAGTTGGAGAAAGGCAGACAACACCATGCTTAAGAACTCCCAAAAAAACCTAAATAGTAGTCTTCCAAAACAACACTGTAAACTTAAGATTCAGCAATATAAACCCAACCAAAGAAACCTAAACAACAGGGAGTGATCGCAGAAATGTCTCTAAAAAGTCAGCTGCTTCAGCAACTCTTGTCAGGATGCTGTTTATAGACATGATTCAAAAGACATGCATAGATTGTCTTGTGTCATGAGAAACTGTAGACGTTGAAAACATATGTAGATTATGTGATTTCAAGGACGCATATTGATTGTTTGATATCACAATGTATATGTGTAATTTGTAGTTCACAAGAGGCTGTATGTAATTGTTATTAGCACATTTGTTTGTGTCAAAGATGTATATATATATATATAAAGAGGTCTGTGGATATATGTAAATCTTGTGATTTTTGTATTTAGACAAACAAAAGAAGTCAGAAAGAAGTCTCAGTATATGGGCGAACAATTATTCAATATTTTTCTGAAAGGGTGATTTATGCATCATTTATTTTTATATGAATTATCATTGAGAAACACTGTTTTAAAACATCTTATTTTGGCAATTCGGGTTGAATCTATAAAGTGACAATGAGGGGTAAATCTACACAGTGACAATGAGGGGGTAAATGGGTTCCTATTGAACTCGAAGTGAAATCACAGTTTAATCATTTGCTCAGTTCCTATAGGAATGATCTACACTTCATGAAAAAAAGTTCAGATCATTTTTGTTAATTTTATTAACTTTATAACTTCTTCTATATCAAGCAGGCATAACGATTTGATAATAATGTGATGATATAAAGCCACTGATTCTGAAAGGTTATTTTCTCGCTGTGTTGGAGACCCCTTGGTGGCCTTTGGCTGTTTTCTGCTCTTTGGTTGGGTTTTTGTCTATTTGACACATTCCCCGTTTCCATTCTCAATTTTATATTGTAAGTCAGATATTTACTGGAAATCAGAAAAGTCTGATTATGAATCGTACATTTAAAGCTAATGAACTGTATTTACGTAAATTCGTATAAAACTTTAGTAGACATGATGGTTTCGTCTCAATTTGCGTCAAATCACCTCTGGTGCTTTAGATATTTGTTTAATTCTATAATAAAATACTGATTTTTTTTTATCATCGAAAGCCTTCAAGGTACAGCAAGTTTATCTGGCTTTATTATAAGAATAGTTAATTGAATTGTATATACTCTTCAGTCTTGTATATAGATGGTTAAAGACAGCTTTATTGTCCGTGTCACAAATGCCTCGTAGAGTAGATTTTTGGCGTTGTAAAAGGTCCATTGTTTGCACTAGTATGTTTTAAATGCAAGGTTCATATCATTATTTAGGATGTTTACAAAAGTGATTCAAACATACAAGAGGTCAGAACTGTGAAACTGACATGATGCTTGATTTTTGTTTTTTGACCACGTTTAATAGATGTGCTTTTGAAGAGACACTTGAAATTCCCATGGAAACAATAGTTCTACTCTTCCGCCGACATGTTCCTTGATTCATATGAGCCAGGATTCTTGTTCAACCAGTCATATAATATGCACCCACGCATCTCACAAACTTATAGTAACAAGACATGATAGTTGATTCGCAACTTTAATATCACCGAATCTGTACAGAAGTAATTTATGGGTGGCCTAGATTGTGTGAGTTATTTTTGTTTTGGTCAGTCACTGTTTTGCATTGAATACAGAGAATAGAATTTTAATCAATAGTTTCATTCAAATGTATTAAATGATGTAATGCACATTGGAAATACTATTTACTATTATTTCATGATAAAAGTCTGCAAATCTGAAGGAGGGGATGGGGTTAAGACCAAAATTTTGTACTTGTAAGTGTGTGGCCAATAAAGACCCTCCACACAAAGAAAGAGAGAGAGAGAGAAATCAGCACTTTAATTTAAAGATGGAAATCATGATTCTAATCATAAGTGCAACGAAATTGAAATGTATGTAAAGGTATGAAAAATCCTATTTGTATAATAAGCTCAATATTAATAATAATTTTATAAGACTGCCAAAATTTATAGATTAGGAAGTAGAAAAATGGCAAGCTAAAATTATCATGTGCGACAGAAAAGCCCTTGTCGGCTGTTGAAGGGTAGGGCCTTCTATATACCCTATTCAACAGTTTAGAGATTGCAATGCTCCCTTCGCGCTACAGAACCCTTGAAACAAATCTGTCAGGGGTCCATAGGAGGCCTTTTGGAAGAAAAAAATCTCTGTATATATCTGACATGCTCTCCTTTTCTGGTTGCAGTCGAAATTCGTGCTCATATACTGGTCGACCCACTCGGCAGAACCTATATCATTGAATATGGTTAATTTTGTCTTGTCTTGAATTACAAGATAAATGTGTCCCTTGATACAAGCCAAACAACAATCAAACCTGTATAAAAATCAAATTTGCATTCGTAAATGCCGCATTTTTTTTTTGCGACGTCGGTTTGCCATAACCGTCCATTTCCTGTCCGCATCGCGGTCCTTGAACTGTGCCAGGCTTTAATTCCCAAGTATCAAATCGTTTGCCTCACTAAAAATAAGGTTCAGGCTACGTCACTGATCACCTGTCTGTGTTTAAATCCTTTTAAAAAGTTCTGTTATCACGTGGCAATTGCCACTCTTTGCCATTTATGTGTTCTTTGAATTCATATCTGGAACAACACATTCGAGTATGCATCTGCAGTATGGGACCCATCCAAAAATGCCACATTTACCAAATCGAAATGGTACAACGAAGTGCTGCCCGCTTTGTAACAACAACTAATGCCGGGAATCAGGAACATCCTACAGACACTTGGCTGGCCAACCCTAGTAACACGCAGAAAAGGAGCCAGGCTCATACTCCTGTACAAGATCTTGCATGGAAAAGCATTAGTCATTATTCCAGATGACATCAAGAGACAATCCGTCCAGACAATATCAACATATGCCTATAAATACTACTTCATCCCTAGAACAATTGTTGACTGGAACCAACTACCTGAAAGTGCCATCCAAGCCTCCACAACCGACGCCTTCCGGGTCTATGTGTGGGAGTTCCTGACGTAACTGTGGATATCTGATTTTAACCCTGTAAAGTTGTTGCAAACATCACATAATTTTGTTTGTTTTCGTTCTTGTAAATACACATAATAGCTTTTGTTTATTTTTCAACTTGGCGCACAGTATATATGCGTTATGGAAATTTCGATTGCAGCTTAACCACATAGTAGTAGAACAAGCTTTATTTCATCCCCTGAAAGACTAAAGCCGCTAAGACAAATACTTTGCAGAAATTTCTGAATGGATTTCAGTATTTCATCAGAATTTCATTATCCGTAAGAGTTTAATATAACATGTTACCATAGTCGGGAAGGCATTTTTTTTCCTGGTCCAATTCCATCTCTAAAAAGGCTAAAGCCGATGACACATAAACGTTGCAGATATTTTTAAATAATTTAATTTTGGATGTAACGCGTCTTCCGATTGGCTGACGTTGTTTTGTTTATCAGCTCATAGACATAATTTTGTCATGTGACCTTGACGTCATCAACGTTTTTTCATGATTTACTCCGGTTTAAAATGGAATTAAGAATTAAATTATAAGAAATGACTGTAATATTTTTTCTGTCTATTCGAAATAACATAAAAAATGTGGTGCACACTTTAAAATAACCCGCTACGCGGGTTATTCAGTGTGCAACACATTTTTGATGTTATTTCTTCATAGACAGAAAAAATATTACAGTCATTCCTTAAATAGATTATACTTGTCGAAAGTATTTCATCAGAATTCCAATATCCGTAAGAGTTAATATTATAACATGTTACCATAGTTGGGAAGGCATTATGTTTTCTTGTCCTTGTTTCTGTCCGTTTTTTTCGTCCATTCGTCCATATTAGTTGAAAGTTTTGTTTAAGGTACATCACCTTTAAGTTTTTATTTATTATAGTACACATATTCAATATTAGGTGTTCTTCAGGAAAGAATGCCAATTTAGGGTTTTAGACCAAGACTTTTCAGATCATTGGTCAGGTTAAAGTTTGGTTACAGGTAGTTACTGTGACTGATTGATTGATTGTCTGTTGCTTACTGACTTAACGTCCAGTG